AGGAGGTGTTGGACTCACTGACCATCCCTGTTGCTTGCGTAGATTTTGGAGCTGAGTTTGGAATGGGGTAGGACCCCCCCCAGTTCCCTCCCCAGTTTCCCTGATGGTGGGTGTCATGCACAGGACCTGCTCTGGCTGGTGCCCGGTGATGCCGGCTGAGTGATTGCCTTGGCCTGGCTTTTCCTATCTTTGAGATATATGAAAGGGAATAAGGCTGTCAGAGAACTTGTTGGCTTGTAATAAACCTCAGTGTGCTCTGCCCAGCATCACATCCTCCTGGGGTTTGGGGTGGGTTTTTTCCCCCCATGACTGACTGGAAAAATAACCTGTAGAGTAACATCACATGCATGAAGGCGAAAGAAGGTGAATAGCAGGGAAAGGACACTATTTTTCCTGCCTTTTCAAATGCCTGGGGGATTTTAACACTTAATGCTGTTCATAGACTATTGAGTACTGAAAGAAAAATTACGGTAGGCTGTCATCCTTTATTTTTCTGCTCTTGTGAGACCCCACCTGGAGTGCTGCGTCCAGCTGTGGAACCCTCAACATCAGAAGGGTATAGACTGGTTGGAGCGAGGCCAGAGGAGGCCACGGAGATGCTCCGAGGGCTGGCGCCCCTATGCTATGGGGACAGGCTGGGAGAGTTGGGCTTGTTCAGCCTGGAGAAGAGAAGGCTCCGGGGAGACCTTATAGCACCTTCCAGTGCCTGAAGGGGCTACAAGGAAGCTGGGGGGGACTTTTTACAAGGGCCTGTAGTGACAGGACAAGGGGGAACGGGTTTAAATTGAAAGTGGGGAGGTTTAGATGGGATATCAGGAAGAAGTTCTTCCCGGAGAGGGTGGGGAGGCACTGGGACAGGTTGCCCACAGAAGCTGTGGATGGCCCATCCCTGGAAGTGTCCAAGGCCAGGCTGGATGAGGCTTGGAGCAACCTGGTCTAGTGGAAGGTGTCCCTGCCCATGGCAGGGGGGTTGGAACTGGATGGTCTTTAAGGTCCCTTCCAACCCAAACCATTCTATGAGTCTGTGATTTCCAAGTGGAGATGACAGGCGAGCTGTGTTTGGTTGACCAGAAGGCATTCACGAAGGCGGGAGGGCAAAGATGTGGTGCCTCTGCTTCCAGATATGCAGGTGGGAAAGGGCATGTCAGTGGTACTTTTTTCTTAATCTGAAATCAAAATTTTTTTCACTCACAAACCATTTGAAGCCAAGTTTCTTTACAAGTAAACACGATTTCTACATATCAAAAAAAAAAAAGGCAGGATCCTCACTGAAATTTTTCTGCATCATCTTTAAATGTCACCCCCTGCTCATCCCTTCTGTAATTAATTTAAACGTATTTGACACTAGCTCGGGGGCAAGTTTTGAACTTTCTTTACCCAGCGATGTGATTTTATTGCTTTTTCTCAGTTCAGTGGTGATTATATTTGAATTTGCAAAGTGGGTTGTTGACCAGCCCTGGCTTGCCAGCCCCTTTCTAGGCTGACCTTTGCCATGAGCACCGCTGCGAGCCTGCGTGTGGGGGAGAGTAACGCTTGGCTGCCAGGAATTGGCTGTGGGCATCTGTGAGTGATTGGGTTTAATGGTGGAGCTGTTTGTTTTAAAGTGAGATAAACCCAGGATAAGAAGAATTAATTTCATGGTTTTCAGGCTTTTATATTTATTGTGAATAATATTTACGGTGTTTTGGCTTCTCACTGTACCTGATGGTCACCTGCAGGAATTAAAAGCTGGAACCCATTTTGGAGCCCACAGGGAAGGGGAATGAGTTGGTTTATTCACGGGGGCTCAGGACGATTTTGTACTTTAAAGAGATTTGTATAAATAAGTTATCTTGGTTTCTTCATCTTAGATTTGTTTTATCTTTATTTTGTCCTTTAACACCATCTCCCAACTGCGTGATAAAACACCAGACCTCCTCGTTCATTTTTATTTCCCCCGTAGTATCCCCAGTGCCTGGTCTAGAGCAGATTGCCCAAACCCAAAGTTTATGTGTTTCGCTACACCTCTGTCTATCCTTTCCTTGCTTGAGTAATGGCTGAAAGTGTGCCAGTAGGACCTGCCAGGGAACTTTGGGGCCAGTAGTCTTTGTTTTCGTAATGTAAAAGGATTAGCAGGTGCCGAGTGGTATCAGGGAAGGTCTTGGGGGAAAACTTTGTCATGTGGTTATTTAGACATATTGGTCCAGCTGCAGCTTCCCACCAAGGAGATCCCTAAAACACCAAGGACCAGAAACTGAGAAAGTGAATCACGGGTGGAATAAGCCTTTTTCCCCATTGCTTATTCTCTAGCTATACGCATTTTGTAATAGGTGCTGCTAATTAAGATAACGTAGTTTATCGGTTTTCAGTAGTGACATTTGAGGTGCAGAAGTTGGTTTGCACTGAATTTTACAAGTAATCCTGCTTCCAGCCTGCGTGTCTGCCTTTCTCAGCTGCGTGGCTGCAAACATCGTTTGGGAACTGTGGACTTTCCCCTGATAATCCTTAAACCCTAGGTGTGTTTCATTGTCTTTTACTTGGGAAAGCCCGAGCACGGGGAGCTGAAGGGCTCGCCAAGACCCTCTGCATCAACACTGGGCCAATTCCTTTGCACATCCCGGGGTGACGGCCGAAAATGAGAAAGGAAGAGGAAAGCTGGGCTGAAACAATGTGTTTCATTATCGTGCTCCTAGTAAGGCTCTTTCAGCGGGGTGTTTGCTTAAAGTTGGCACCAAAAGGCTTTGTGTGAGACATGTCAGGAGAAAAATGAAGATGAAAAGGGTTTTTTAATTATTCTTCTTGTCTTTTTTGCATCTGGTAGTGTAAATCTGACCACTATCTGAACGCCCAGTTACAAAAAAAAAAAAAAAAAGAAAAGAGCCTGTGAGGAGATGGCCCTCTTTTATTTTCCCATCTGCAAGACTGCAGGGAGCTGTGCTACTTGTGTTACCCCACGGACCTGCAGAATGCCCGCTCCTTAGTGCAGGGCCGGGGGGCGGAGGACCGGTGGGCTTTCAGACATTGACTTGACTTTTCTAAGCATGTTCACCACTTACAAAGTTGATTTGAGATATTTGGACCCGTTCCATATCCTTTAATAAAAGATGCTGTCTCGTGCTCAGGTAAAACTTGGGATGTTTGAGGGCAGTTGGTAGAAAAACACTGGTTTGTGTGTTTTGGGCTGAAATTAGGAATGTTACAGAAGAAAGCAGTGGTGCTGCTCTTGAAACAGTACTGACTGCGACTTTTTGTGTGTCTTGCATATTGTAAAACTTCTTTGTATTCATCAGACATGGCAGAAAGGACTACTTGTGCTTTTTAATGAAGAATACAGTTTTCTTCCAAATGAGTTTTCCCTCTCCCCAGCACACGAGAAGTGTTCTGGAAGTGTCCAAGGCCAGGCTGGATGAGGCTTGGAGCAACCTGGTGTAGTGGAAGGTGTCCCTGCCCATGGCAGGGGGCTTGGAACTAGATGATCTTTAAGGTCCCTTCCAACCCAAACCAGTCTGGGATTTCAGATGCAGTAGGAATCTGAAACACTTGGTGTCCCACTGGGAAAAGCAGAAGTCTGGTCAATATGCTACAAGCTAAAAAATATTTGCCCCCAACTTGGCATTAGCTTGGAAATTGTAATAGCTCATTAGCAAGCAGCCTGGTGGTTGTGTGGCGTGGCTGAAGAGCATAGGATATTAAAATGGTACGTAGCCAGCCACGTCTGGAGCTCTGCCTACACATGGATTGAACGGAAGGCTCATGAATCTGCCAGCATTCAGCTCCCCACCTCGATCTCGGTTGGGTGCCTTGCTGGTTTTTGTTAGCTGTGTCATTAAGCCCCCAAGAGTGGTTGAGGCAGAAAGGATTAACTCATGGAGCGATATGAAGTCGAGGCAGTGGTACTGAGTTGTTCCACAGGAGTTTAAAATTAATTTTGTTGTTCCGTGTCATCTTCTGGCTTTGTAATCAGCTGCAGTGCCCGTCATATGTTTTCTGGTAAATTTGAAGGCAGTCAGGTAAGGGATCCTGAATCTGGGAAACTGGATTTGGTTAAAGTCTAATGGTGATATTCCTAAAACCACGAAGAGGTGGTGGACGTGAAAGGGAAAGATTAAATCTGCATTATTCGTCTAGCAGAGACGTGGTGCTCAATCCCAGCACCTTCCCGAGGCGGCAGAATTGCTCTTCCCTGCTCCCCACAGCGAAAGGCAGAGGGACATAGCCTGCTGCTGGAGCGGTGGAGCAGGGGAGGAGACCCTTCTCTGCCGAAAAGCTCCTGGGAAGCTCTGCAGGGGCCTCCCGGCAGCGCTCGTGAGGGTCTTAAATGGGCTTAGGACAAGGAGAACTTTCTGGGACTGGGGAAGGTGAAGTCCGGAGATGCCCCTGAACCTTCCCTTGCCGAATCCACCTCCGCAGGGCTTGGAGCAGGGAAGAGCTACCCCAAGACGTAGGTTTTGCAAGATTTTTCTTCCTGTTCTGTTCACCACCAGCCCCTCTTATAGCAAAGGTGGAACCGCTCCTACGTACGCTTCTTTTGAACTTGCACGACAGCTCACTTTTGGTCAGTCAGAATACGTCACTGAGCAGCCAAATCCTTTGGATGCTGCTTCAGACCTCTAAGCTGGAAGTGGTTGGGAAGAACGCCTTCATCTTGGTCCTTGATTTTTCACCCCGCTGGAGACCTGCGGACGCTAGCTTGCTTTTGCGTTGAAGTAATCATCCTGCCTTTTCAAGGCCAGCTCTACAAACGCTGTCCCCCTGCGAGATGCAACTGGGAGGGTGGCATACAAGGATTTCTTCCAGAGGTTGTCCAAGGAACAGCGCACAGGGAAAACGTTGACTTTTTAATGGAGCAGGTCTTGGGGGAAGCCAATATCCAGATGCATTAGGAGTTCTCCTTCAGCTGCGTGTCCTGCCACGTTAATTTTTTATTACAGTGCCTTTTTACACCCTTCCCCTGGCCGGAGCTTTCTGCTGCACAGCCTTGTCTTTATCTCCCTTTTGGTTTTTTTTTGTCCCCTTTCCAGTTTGAGCGGCACGATCCGGTGGAGGGGCGGATCACGGAGCGGCAGTTCGGCAGCATGCTGCTGGCCTACAGCGGGGTGCAGTCCAAGAAGCTCACTGTCATGCTGAAGCAGCTCAAGAAGCACTTCCAAGACGGAGAGGTCAGTGGGGAATTCGGGAAGTTGCGGTGGGGGCAGGCATCCCGCACTGTGCCGAGGGGAGTAAGCCATCTCTGCCCTGTTCAGCAGCATGGGGGGGACGCGCTGGCTGTGCAGGGGGCAAATACTTGGCCAGCAGCAGGGAGGTGGAAGGGGTGGGACTGCAGCGGTCAGTGGCCAGAGCGGGGTGTAGCTTTGTCCCTGGTAAAATAGATGCTGGAATTTTCAGAGTTTAGATTTGCTGAACAGCACTCTGGGTCTGGAGCCAGCATAAACATTGAAGGATGTGTTCCTAGTTCCTGGCTCGACCTTGGATTAATTAGCTGCTGTGGCTGGGCAGTTTATTATTTGGTAATGAACTTAGATGAAAAATTATTTGAATTACTCGTGATTTAGAGAGGAATAAGGTTGCAGATCCTACACTCCTTAATTTAGTGAGAGACCTTGGAATAAGGCATCCATACCAAAAGGACGTGCTTTATCAGGTAAGGCAAGTATGGGCTGCTAAATTACTTCAGTTATTAGAATTTCACGTCTGCCTCTATAAAGATGGATTGCTCTTTTATTAACTAGGTTATAAACAAGCGATTCGTCAAAATGAGAAGGGATGGAGAGCCTTTTGGCTGCGTATTGGGTTGGTCTGACTGTTTCAGAGCCCGTTTCTCCTGATATCAGAACTGGCGTTTATGTCTTACCTGGTTTAGATGTGAAGTGTGTTATAAAATCCAAGTGTTGGCCAGGCTCTAGTCCTTTTCTGTCCCTTTTTGGCGCCTTACCTGCATTCCTGTGATGTGCAGGGATCCTCAGGTCATGTGACACCACTCCAGTGACCACTTTTCCCCCCCTCTTTCACTGGTGCTTGGAGAATTTGGGTGCACTGAAGCAGCGGGGCGTGTAGACTAGTAGGTCTCTATTAACTCAGTAATGCCAAAAAGTTAAAAACTGGAGGAAACGGGTCAGTGAGCCAAAAGACCGTGATCAACGTTGTGTCCCTGCCAGAGGAGCCATGGTACCTGCAGCTTCTCGTGGCCTTGCGATACCAGAAAGAGTGGGGTTTTTTTGCAGATTCCTTCATGTTTTGTAGGAAAATAGCTCAGTATTTAACAGGCTGTTATCAGTAGCTGGTGTCAACGTGGCATCGGAGCCGAGAGGTGTTGCGGGCCAGTTGGAAATCTCACTTCCCAAGCTCTTTGACACCTGCTCAGTCAAGATTCCCATTGACGTTTCCCAGGTCAGGTCCGTTTATTTGATCTTTGAGTGAGATGCTGCAGATTCAGCTTGCCAACACCTCTGCTCCCCTTGAGTTTTAACCGGAATAATTTGATTTGTGGAAAAATACTTCATGGCGATGTGTGCCTAACAGAAAATATTGGCTCTGTTGTTAACATTCCCAAACTGTCGATTCTTTTGCTGTGATTTGGGGTTTTTTATATAGAGATATATATACACACAGAGCTGTTTTCTTCCTTTCATGTGTAAGCCAAGACCCAGACATCTGTGGCAGAGGAAGAACTTTTTGTTTTGACGTTATTCCTCATCCCCAAATCAGCCAGATTGTGTTTCTATTTGCAGATAACCAGATTCAGAGCAAGTCTTTTTCTTTATTCCAAGAACTCTCAAGGAGAGAAATTGAGGAACAGGACAAAAAAAATTACATTTGCAAGAAACAGAATTGGTGGAAAACGCATGATTCCTCAGACCGGGGGGAGTGAAACACCCAAAATCCTAAAACGAGACGGCCTCTCTTAACAAGCAGAAGATTGGTTTAAGGGGATGCAAAGGATTCAAGAAGTGCCAGACGCTTTGCACTGGAGACAGATAAACTGCTTCTTTTTTGTAGCCAGGTCAGCTCAAAGTCAGTGCTTGTGCAGAGCTAGAGAAATCAGGCACTGAAATCCTCCACTTCAGCAGGTTTTAGCTCAAGGAGAATCCAGCCAGCTGTCTAACACTGCGTTGTCTTTTAGACAAGAGAACCTTGTCTTGAAAGTCTGTGGGGTTCTTTTTGCCCCTAGGGTATTGTAGAAGACCTTGCAGGTTTGTTTGCAGCGCTTTCTGTCTAAATACACTTAGGTACTTTCAGCAGATTGCCCTGGTGCAGCTGTAGTGCTTTTACATACCTTAAATGTCCCCATCCTTTTAGAAACAGGACTGCCGGGACCAGAATCATGTTAACCGCCCCTGCAGCTCTCAGGATAACTCATTCAGGGTTGCGTTTGCAAAGTTTTCTTTGTAAATAAATGGAGTGTTAAGCCAGAGAGCGTTCTCCCACTCGGAGCTGCGGGAGCTGGGCGCCGACGTTGCTTCTTCCTCTGCGTTTGTAACCCAGACATTTGCAGAGCAAGCAGCTGCTTCGGTAGGGCTCCGCTTTGCTCCCATCCTATAAAAAGGGAGTGAAGCTGGTGCTATGCACTGCTCTCCCTTTGGCTCCCAGACCTCAGAGAGGCATTAAAGCCACCCAGCTGCTTCATTTATCCTCCAATACCCCCCAGTCACCGAACACCTCGTAGGTCAGAGCGCTTTATGATGCAGACGTGTTTTGCAGGAAGAATTTTTCTCCAGATCCCTTCTTTACACACTTCACCAGCCTACTTGTATAGCAGCATTGTATCGTTATCTGCACAGCTTCCTTACCTGCTGTAACTCCCCTCTACCCCAAAAGCAGCAGGGGCTGTGCCTTGCTATTGCTGTCCAAGGTGAGCGGGACTAAAATAATTTTAAGCGTATGATGCTGGGAGGGGATGGCAGTAGCTGTAGCAAACCTACCTGGCAAGCTTTACCTTGGAAATACAATTTATCTTCTGAATGCTTTCCTATGAAATCTGCCAAACACCATCTTCATTTTCCGATGGAATTATCTTTTCTGCGCGAGGCAGCGCTGGCAGCCTCCAAAATGTTTAAGCCCTGGATTTAACCTAACTTTCCAACACTTATTCTATGTTCCTACTTTTGGGGATGGCCTGTTTTCTTCCAGTACTTGATAATCTGCTCTCATTTTTATTTTTCTTCGGGGAAAAATCCCATCTTACCCTGGATACGTGAACTTCTCTGCACGTTCAGCAGAGCTGCCACGCTCTGCTTTGTTTAAAATTGCTTACAATCCTCCCCCTCAAGGTTTACTTACACAGCTGCTTGTCTTCTAGTAAGAAGGACTTGAGTCGTCGGCAGTGTTTACAAGCAAGGTATTTGGTTTATGTCTCCGTAACCACTAGAAAACCAAGCTGACTCTCTTCAGAAATTAGTGATTCAGGTCATCTGCATGCACCTCAGGGGTTGTGTAGCACATTCTTCTGTTGAGGTGGCAGAGGGTGGCAGTGTGATGTAATTCTGAATCCTGAGTTCTTGGGACCTAGGACCTCCCCAGCCCTAACTTCTGCAGGTGTTTGAGCTGTCATAAGATGCATGTTGCAGGCAGATGCACGTTTCTGGAGTCTGCCTGCTTGTGTATTGCTAATATTACTCCAGTGATGAAAAGATTCAGGCTTCTGAACCAGCAGCTAGATGTAGGGATCATCCAGATCCCCTAATCGCTACCCTAGTGCTCTCCAGGTAGGCAATTCCCTGTGATTCCAAATTAACACAAGCCTTTCTTATATAACGGAACCATCTATCGGTCTTTCAGTGGAGACGTGCATAGCTTAGGGCTGAGCAGCACTGACAAACGCATTGGTGGGGAATAGATCAAATCCCGCTCTCAGACTTCTGACGGATGAAGGTGATCATTCATCTCTCGACTGGTCCGTGCAATCTATCCCCGCCTCTGAATTTGATTTCATTTTTGTAGCTGGAAAGGAATCAATGCTGATGCCAGCCTCAGCTACAGGATTCATCAATAAAAGACTCCGTTTCATAAAACCGGTGGCATTTTTGCTACAGAGATTCGGTATCTCTACCCCCGTGAAAGCTCAGGTTGGTAAGGTACCTCCACACGTCGTTGCTCTGTCAGCTGGTGAAAGGACATATGTAAGCACGTAAACCTTCCCTGTTACCCGCTGGAGCAATAGCAACTGCAGAGTTGGTTCTAAACCGAGGGCTGTTTTCTACAAACAGCATTGCTGTTTGCCTGGAAATCTGCCCTTTCCTGGTGGAAGATTGCAGGAAAATGCAAAGTTCAGGGCTCTTTGCTTAGAATAGCTGCTGGGATGCCTTGCGGCCGCTACTGCAGTCATCAGAGGTCCCAAACAGAGCAGGTAAACCACAGCACAGTGTCTTCTGCTGGCCTGAAAGCGGCTGCACGCCTCCTGCTTCCCCCAGGCTTTCCACTTTTTTCATGTTCTGCTCCCAAGCAGGAGCATGTCAGTCAGAAAATGCATAGCAGGGGGGTGGCCGGATGGGTGTCTGGCATGATCTCCTCTAGAACCCTTGTACAGAACAGGAATCTTGGCAGTTCTTCTGCAGAGGTACCTGATTTACTTGATTTTGGTTTTTGCTAGGACAGTATTTTATTTAATTCTGCCACACATCTTTCAGCGTGCCACTTGGGAAGCAGAGCAGGTATACGTTAAATCAAGCTCCCTGTATGGGATCTGGGGATTTTCTTTTTTTTTCAGATCCGTTATCCGCTTGTGCATTTTGCTATCTCATCCTTTTTGGGCTGGATCCGTAAATCCGGGGTTCTGCTGCATTTGTCAGCGTGCACGCTGTGCAGTGTGCATCGGCAGCGCGTTGCCACGCGCTCGGTTACAGCGAAGACGGGGACAAGCTGAAATGTTGCTTGGTAGGTTACAAATTTTCTGTAGTTCTTTGGCTTACCATTCTAGAGGCACCGTGTCTGTATGAGAAGATTGTAAAAAAAAAAAAAAAAAAAAAAAAAAAAAAGAGGTGCTTTTTCTTTCAAAAAAAGATAGGTGGTTTCTTCCCTGATTCATAGTTGTTGGGAAGGGTTTGAGCAGGGTTACAGCAGGTCATATGAATTTATATCAGCAGTAGAAGCTGAATGTGTGCTCTTCCATCCAGACCATGAAACCCTGCTGTGGTATGCAGCTGGGGTCTTTAGTGTCATGGTG